AGAGGGAGAGAGAGAGAGAGAGAGAGAGAGGGAGAGAGAGAGAGAGAGAGAGAGAGACAGGTAAGCAGACAGATGGATAAACAGAGAGGAATTAAAAAGTATTTTTAGTACAAAAAAAATTCTTACGATTTCAGATAGAAAATATCCTCCCCGTTTGGCGTTGTAGTGGTCGAGTCTAAGGAGATGAAAAACGCTGGAAAAGCTCAACGTGTTCTCAGCATCGATTGATTTGTTCTTTCATAATCGCTCCCTTTCTCTATACATATCCATTACATAGTGACTCGCAGCATCTCTCTTTCTTATTCGTGACCCCTTCCACTCTTACATCCCTGCTCTTCTCGCGTATCTCGTTCTTCCACCAGCGGAGAAGCAAGCAAGGAACAAAGACGGAAAAGGATCGGCACCGCACGAACTTTCCCTCTCTCCTCGCCCCACCCGCCCCTCCTTACCAATCCCTTCACCCCGCCCCACCCCCGTCCACCCATCCAGAGTCCCCGACCCGCGTTCCCTATCCTTCTCTCTGTCTCGCCTTCCCTTCGTCGCTCGCGCGCATTCCGCGACGAGATACATCGTGCACACTCGGACGAGCGCGCATGGGAGGAATTTTTTCAGTCGGGACTGATGCAGGAGAAACCTTAGACGAAATTCGCCGTCTCGTACGACGTGTATATTTTCAAAGAATTGTATATCCAGAGAAAGTTAAAGTTCTATGCAACAATGCGCTCGCCCGAATCGCGAAATTTCATTTTACCTGCTGCATTTTACCTTTTTTAAGCAATTAGCGATTCTGATATTTATACGCTGGTCTTCTAATCTGTAGCATTAACATAATTATTTGATATTCACTGGTAGTACAGCTGCGATACACTTATTGCCTATATCGCCTCGTTGTATAATAATGCCCGCGATTAGATTGTAAATAGGAAATACATTAATTATACAATACTCAAAAAAAGATTATGAATCAAGGTACGCGTTAATATCCATAGAATTAATTTTTAACAATACTGTGCCACAAATTTATAATGAAATTAAGCATTAAAGCTTGAATTAAGCGAGCGTTTTAGTGCATGGAACGCAGTGGAAAAGGAAAAATCCAACGGTAACTACTATTGGGCAACAAACCATCTTAACAAGCGAAGTGTATACGCGATAGCAAACGCTTATCGATCTTCGAAATTTTATTTTCACGCGTCACCCCTTTCCCCTTTCCCGCGGCTTTTATATACCTTTATCGGGATGCCCTCGCTTTAGGTAAAAAATCCGCTACCGCGCGTATAATCGTCGGCAAGAAAGTGAAACATCAGCGTTTTCTTATAAAAAGTGTCCCAGTCATCTTTATCCATGCAATCAATCCCCATTGAAAACGTTCACTTTTGAACTTTTCACTGTTGAATCGTCAATAACTCTCCAGTCTCCTCGCCTCCACCACCCCTGCCTCCACTACGGTCATTAGCCCATTGCATAACAGTAAATATTATTCAACGTAATTTGCGCGACTTAAACAATTAGGCGCGTCGTTCGAATTCCGGGACGCTATAAATTATCAATGATTAGAATTCGACTCGAGTGTTGCCGAAGCCTCGTCGCGTCATCCTCGTCGCCGGCTCAAACACGCCAGACTATCCCGATTACCTGCGCGCTCACGCTTCTGTGAGAAACGGACTCGTGACTAATTTCCCTGCGCTCCGTGCAAGAGAGCACAACGCGACTTCGAAGCCAACCAACTCTCGATAACATACGCTGCCTCAGCATGCGAATAAATAAAAGATATTCGCCCCGCTAATTGAACAATCTGTAAAATACGTTATTCCACTCGGGCGAGGATGGTAATGAATTCAGTGGTGAAATACACAGACTTGGGAAATTCGTTCGGAAATTTTTCGTTCCCTTATCCGGAGCCTCGGGAATTCCTCGGTGCGCGCGTTTGTCGGCTCTGCTCGGGGGCAAGTGGCAAGGGGAGAAATCGCCTAGTCCCTCGGCATATGCGCGAGATTAACGACAGACGGGGAGAAAACGCGTGTACGCGCGCACTATGCGCCCGAGAAAGAGTCGACGACGAGTCTTTACGTGCTTTACCGCGCGTATATAGCCGCTCTCTTTACGACCCTGACTTTGAGAAACATACACACACGCACGCACTCTAGCGCAAGAGACAGAGACATACAGAGACAGACACATACACACACACACACACGCGCGCGCGCGCGGAGAGAGAGAGAGAGAGAGAGAGAGAGAGAGAGAGAGGATTGACCGAGTCGATGCTATCGCTTCTCTTTTCTTCTCCCCGTTCTTCACCACTCCTTGGCTCCACCATCTCAACCTAATCCTTCGCTCACCTCTTTCTTTATTCTTTCTCTCTCTCTCTCTCTCTCTCTCTCTATCTATCTCTCTCTCTCTTATTTTTTTTGTTTGTTCCCTTTTACGTGCCCTCCGTCATTTTCATTTTCTTTTTCTGCCTCGTTTTTGTTGGTCAAGATGTGAAAACGCTGATTGTATTGCTCCCTCGTGCCGCGTGCGTCGATTCCAGTGAGCG